TCCAGAGTAATATATCATATGGTCATCCGACTCAAAATGCCCCATGCCAGTCCATCTCATCTCACCAATGCCTAGTATGTCAATATTTATGCATTCCATTTCTTCCTTAACGATATCTCATTTTCCTACATTCATGGTTCTCACATTCCTTGTCCCAATCACCAATGTCTGCTTACAACAGTTCCTCTTCCTTTGTATTTCCATACTTGAAAACTCAACCTCCTTTGCCGTTTCTGTTATCTAAATGTGTTCTGTTGTACATAGGGTTTTGTTTCCTTAGGAAACGAAATAAATGTTGATTTGCTGAATCAGATTTTTGAGCATGAACATTTTCAATATTGTCAGAATGGGTGCTGGATTGCTTCTTGGGAGGTGATTTGTGATCATCTAGAAGTTGTTTCACTTCAACTTTTGTCTCCTCTAAATAGTATTTTAACCTTTAAAAATGAAGTTAAAATATGTGGTTACCTTTTAGTCAGAAGTCATCAGAATGTATTGTAGACATTTCTAACTTTTATCACTACACTGACGGCTGAGTGTGTGTGGTTTTTTGCTCATGAGTGGGTAAAGAAGACAGATGAGTATGATCTCACTACTCACTCACAGCCCCTAGTCACTTGGGTATTAAAAGTTGGTCTGAGTACCCTTCTACATAGTTGTGTTTAGATTTTTGTTATGTGCTGTTGAGTTGTTGTGACTCATAACAACCCTATGTACAGCAACTTTGACTATATCATCTCTGACATACCTACACCCGTTACCCCTGCCACTGAGTCAATCCATCCCATCAAGATCTTGCGCTGTCTCTAACCTCGCAAGCATGATGTCCCTCTCCAGGGACTGGTCCCTCCTTGCAACATGCCCAAAATATGTCAGACAAAGCGTCATAATTCTTGCCTCACCCTCTCCAGGATGAATCTGTTTGGTCTCCTGGAAGTCCATGGTATATTCAGTACTCTTCAGCACCACAGCTCAAAGGCATCAATTCTCTTAGTATTATCCCTAGTCATTGTCCAGCTTTCTGATGTATAGCAAGTAATTGCAAAGACTATGGCCTGGATCAGGCACACCTTAGTCTCTCCAGAATGATATTGTTGCTTGTCAGTACTCTGGAGAGGTCCCTGACAGCAGACTTCTCCAGTGCAATTTGTCTTTGATTTCCTGGCTGCTGGTACCAAGAGCGTTGTGTTTAGTTTAGTGATAGTTTTTTTTTTTTTCAGAAGACTAAGTGGATATTGAGCACTAGTTTGGTAAATTGGGTTTCTTAAAATCCACGAATGAGATTAAATAATTGTTCCTTCATTTTAGACTTTCCCCCCAGGAAACATCAGAGTCACACTTTGGATTCTTCTTCCTGCCCACGTGACAGCTGGAAAGCCTCTGATTCAGATCTTTCTCCTCCACGGCTTAAACGTAAACAAAGTCCAGGGCCCCAGGATTCTGGTTCAGATTTATCACCTCCACGGAATAGGCCTAGACATCGGAGCTCCGATTCTGACCTCTCTCCACCAAGAAGGAAACAGAGGACCAAATCTTCTGATTCTGATCTGTCTCCACCTCGAAGGAGTCGGCCTCCTGGAAAGGTGGGTATTTTCATGAGTTAATTCTTCTCGTAGAGTAACACTTCTTCTCGACTTTTGTATAAGTTCCAGAGATACAAGCCACAAGAGTCAGCGGTAGCTCTTAGTGTTATTATGTGGTGTAGCTCTTAGTGTTTTTATTAACTTGGAACTGACTCAAAGCTGATCCTCCAGCCGGTTGTGAACCACACAAGAGGAGATTGGACTTTGTGCTACCACAGAGGATCTGGTGGATTTGAACCATGTGCCTTTGGATTGGCAGCACAACTCCTTACCCATTAAGCCATCAGAGCTCCCCCTAGCTCTTGGTAGAGTAAAAAAAACAAAAACCAAGTAAATGCAGAAAACTCAAACTTACTGCCATTGAGTCAGAAATGACTCACCTGATTGTCCATTGGATTTTAGAGGCTTTAAATTGAGAGAAGAAATTGCCCGTTTTTCTCTCGAGGAGTAGCTAGTTCTCTTTGACAGTGAAGCTTGAGTTTCCAGTGCAGAGTTTGTGTTTCGATGGTTGTCGCACAAGAATAATACTGATTGTGTGTATCCCTTAAGCCATACAGCCTCATCTCATTGCCGTATTAATGTTGATTGCTGTCATTTTCTTTGAATAGGCTGCACACATGTTGTCTGGAGCCAAAACGGGATTGGTGTTAACAGATATACAGCAAGAGCAGCAAGAACTCAAGAAGCGGGACCAAGAAACCATGGAATTTGAAGGTAAAAAGATGAGCATGCAGAGATCAGTCTAGACTAATGTTGCTTTTGAGTTAGAACTGACACTCCAGTAAGTATCCAGATCCAGTAAGTTGTATATGAGATTTCCCATCTTTCTACCCTGGAACAGTTGATGGATTTGGACTCTCTTCCTGGGTTGGCAGTATAATTCCGTGGCACTAAGCCGTCACACTTAATGTAGTTTTCACTTATTATGTGTTCAATGTAGCTTAGTATACCTGATCTCTTGGTTGCTATTAAATTTCAGCTCTTGTTTTATGCATTATTTTAATTTCTCAGTGGATCTGAGTAGCCTTTTCCCCCACTAAAAAATGTCCATTTTAAAGAACATTGCTAATATGTACGTACAGATCAGTAGAAACTATTTGTGGTCTGACTGCAAATTATTTTGCGCCTTCAGAATCTCAAATGGTTGCTTTTACCTATTAGTAATATGATTTCTGATTTTGATACTGGTATTAATCTTAAAAAAAAATGCAATTTTCCGTTGCAGCTGGATTCCAGTATGCTGAAACTGTGTTTCGGGATAAGTCTGGTCGTAAGAGGAACTTGAAACTGGAACGTTTGGAGCAAAGGCGAAAAGCAGAGAAGGACACAGAGAGAGATGAACTCTATGCCCAGTGGGGAAAAGGGTAAGAGAATCCCTGAGTAGGAAAGGAAGATGACAGAGGCTGTAGCCAGGCCTTTCTGCGTGCTCTTACCGGCTACTTCATTTTCCTGCCTTCAGTGCTGCTATTAGGAATAGGAAATTCATTGTGCTGAATTGTCTTCCTAAAATACTATTTCATGCTGAGGAATTCTGCTGTTTCAGTACTTGGGCTTATGGTGCTAGGAAGCAGAGGTTTTCTAAATGTAGCAGTGTGGTCCACTCAGTGTAGAAGTGGACATGTTTAATGGGATATCATACACTTTTGGTTATTTTTGCCCAGGCTTGCCCAGAGTCGCCAGCAGCAGCAGAATGTGGAGGATGCAGTGAAGGAGATGCAAAAGCCATTGGCGCGCTACATTGATGATGAAGACTTGGATCGGATGCTGAGAGAACAAGAGAGAGACGGAGATCCCATGGCTAACTTCATTAAAAAGAACAAGGCCAAGGAGAACAAGAATAAGAAAGGTAGGACTTCCAGAGCCATCAGAGATGAAGAAATGGTTGTATGATGAGAGAGTCATTAGGGTAATGATACAATAGCTATGTGCAAAGGCTTTCCCAATTTTGTTTGTTCATTTTTGGTTTGGTTTTTTAAAATTTTTATTTTATATTGGTTTGCTTACAAAGTTTGTATACATTGTGTTTCATACTATCTTGCATTCCTGTTGTGTTTCATGTAATCATTTCTATTTATTATGTTTTATAAAATCATCACTCAACTATGCCCTTTATTACTCTTTCTACATCCCCACTGGACCTTCCCTTTCCTTTACCGTCCCCACTCCACTTACCAAATTTTGTGACCCTATGATTTTCTCCCTGTCTATTCTCACCCGTCTGCTCCTACCATTCCCCACCTTGGATCCTCATACACTTTTTACTAGTTATCTTTCTATTTCTACAATAATGGTCTTACACGGTATTTGTTCTTATGAGACTAAGTTCACTCCTTGTAATGTTCTTCAGTTCCTTCCAAGTTATATAGTAATTTTCAAAATCATTGCTCCTGTGTACTACATAGCATTCCATTTATGTGAATGAACCACCATTTCTCAGTCCATTTGATTGTGGTTGGACATTTGGGCTGTTTCCATGTTCTTGCTATGGTGAATAATGCCACTGTGAACATTGGTGTACAAATCTGCATTTGTGTCTCCGTTTTAATTTTTTTGGGATTATATTCCTTGCAGTGGAATAGCTTGGCCATATGGAATTTCTGTGTTCGGCTTTTGAGGAAACACCAAACTGTCTTCCAGAGCAACTGTACCATTTTATCATCCTACCAAAAGTATTTGGGAGTTCCCACCTTTCTGCATCTTCTCCAACATTTATTGCTTGCTCTCCTGTTAGACTTTGCCACTGCTACCATTTTCCATATACAGTTTTATGTTCCTTGTGTTTGGGAATTTGCATTCAGTTGAATAGATATTTTTGCCTAGAATTTTTTTCCCCAATGGCAATGAGCTCTGAATTTCATGATATAGTTAACCAGATTATTTTCCCTTTCTCCTCTAGTGAGACCTCGTTACAATGGTCCGGCACCTCCCAACAGATTCAATATCTGGCCTGGATATCGCTGGGATGGAGTAGATAGGTAAGCTTGAGATTTTTTGTAGTTTTGCTTTCTCTTCACCTTTCCTAACCTTTTCTTAATTGTTCTTAAGTCCTCTTAGCTCATCCTCTGCTCTAATCACAACAATAATAATAAGTCGGTTTGCTTGTCTTTTGCTGAGGTCCACAGATCCTTTATTCCTGCCTTGAACTATCCCTTCCTGTCCTCTTATTTCTCTTTCAAAATATATTTAAAGTTCTGGAAAAACAACTCAGATGATCCTAAAGGATACCCTTTGTTTTTGACCTTGATCATTTCAGTTGATTCTTTTTAAGATTTCGAGGGGTACAGGTGATGGTTGGGAGCTTCCTGTATGTTACGTCTTTAAAATGTAGCTCTTGAACGTTAATTTTCTTCACTGCTTTAGGGAGTGAGTTCCTTGTAATGTCTCAGACTCTTGCCACCTCATCTGTTTACCTATCAGCATCTGTGCCGACAAGCTCTCATTTCCTTTTATCATGGGTGAATTCTTTGTGCATCTATCCAAAACTAGTCCCTATCAGATCTCATCTTCTCTTACGTATTAAAAGATACTATTCTAGTATCTACCACATCAGTTGTTAAACTTTCTGGTCTCAAGATATCTTCAAACTCTTCAATTTTAGTGAGGATTCAAAGTTTTTGTTTATGTGAGTTATGTATATTTTGTACATAAAAAATGTACAACCTCCTATATGGACTGAAGCTCAACATCAAGAAAACAAAGATTCTAACCACTGGGCCAATTGGCAGCATCAGTATGGATGGTGAAGAGATTGAGATAGTTAACAGTTTTAGTTTACTTGGCTCCACAGTCAACACTTTTGGTAACAGCAGCCAGGAAATCAAGAGACTAATTGCACTGGGAAAGTCGACTGTGAGGGACCTCTCAAGAGTACTGAAGAGCAACGATGTTAGGCTGGAGACTAAGGTGCGCCTGATCCGGGCTATAGTCTTCGCAATTACGTGCTATGCATCAGAGAGATGGACAGTGAATAGGGTTGATAAAAAGAGAATTGATTCCTTTGAGCTGTGTTGCTGGAGAAGAGTGTTGAATATACCATGGACTGCTAGGAGAACAAACAGGTTTGTCCAGGAGAGGGTGAAGCCAGACTATTCCCTGGAGTCAAGGATTCTGAAGCTTTGTCTTACATATTTTGGGCGTGTTGCAAGGAGGGACTGGTCCTTGGAGAGGGGCATCATGTTTGGCAGAGTGGAGGGGCGGCGAAGGAGAGGAAGACCTTTGATGAGATGGATCGGTTCTGTGACTAGAGAGTGGGAATAAGTGCGTTTGAAATGGCTAGGTTGGCACAGGATAGAAGAGCGTATAGAGCTCTTATACATAGGGTCGCTATGAGTCGCAAGCGACTCGATGGCACATAACAACAACAACAACATATATTGTTTGGTTACAAGTAGTTCTAAATAAAAGGTGTAATATATTTTTTGTTATACAGAAATTCAGCAAGTGGAAGTAATGCTAATTATAGAATCTGAAACCATATCAGAGAACTTTTCATAATATCATATTAAAATCCATTGATCTTTTCCATTCCATGATTCACAGTATGATACATTGGTTATTTGGAAAATGTTATTTCACTGAGTTTTTCATACCTTCTAACTATTAACATACTTTATTATTCAATATTTAAAAAAAATCATCTTTGTTAATGTCCCATCTGGTCTCATCAAAGAATTCTTTAAGTATTGAGTTAAAGAAAAAGTTCATGGTGGCAGATAAAAGTTTTCCAAATACTGATTCTTGAAAGGTTAAATATTATCCATTGGTAACAAATACTATTGTACTCAGTCATCACTTATTAACATAGTTAGATTTCAAAGACTAGGTCATTGTGATAAAATTAGTGTTATTTGAAAATGTATTGAGTATGACCACATCAGATCATACATTACTGCCAAGTGCATCGTTATATAACTTCCAAAGTACATTACTATATATCTGCCAAGCTACATTATTACATAACTGTCACGTTACATATATAACTGCTCGCCACAGAGAATCATGTCCTGGCCACGATGATCAAGTGGACACGTTCCCTTAGTCATCACAGCCTTTGCTACTCTTGACTTGCTTTTGGGCATTTGTCACTGCCAGGTATACTTTGTTAATACACAAAATTGTCAGACAGTAGATTTTTAACTATTGTTATAACATTGAGAGGAGTGAAAAAACAGGATAGTCAATGAGGAGGAGTAGGCATAATTGTTTTACTGTGAAGTGAATCTTTGTACAATAGCTTCTTTTCCAAAATCATCTGATTTTTCTCCTAGCTGATCATGCCATCTGTTAATAAAGACAATTTGATTTCTTGCTTCCTAAGTGAATGCCTTTTATTTCTTTTTCTCGCCCTTTATGCTAATTGAAACTTACAGTGTTGGTAATGAATAAAAGAGTGAGAGCATAATCCTTGTCTTGTTTCTAATCTTGGGAAGAAAACAGTCTTTTACCATTAAGTATGTTGTAAGTTACAGCTTTTTTTATTTACACTTTATCAAGTTGAGAAAAGTACCATTTTATTCCTAGTTTGCGGAGAGCTTGGTTGTTTGGTTTTTGTTTGTCTTGGTTTTTCCCCAGCAGTGTATTTGTATTTTGTTTGAAATATTTTCCAGTTTCCCTTCTGGTTGGTTCTTGGATCTGTGAGTTATTTAGGAGGACATTGTTTAATTCCAGTTGTTTTGACTTTTCTAGGTCTCTTATTCCTATTGATTTCTAATTTAATTCCATTGTTGTCAGATATACTCCTTTAATATTTTGAGCTTTTGAAATTTATTATTAATTTTTTTTGTGGCCTAGTACATGTTTTGTATGAGGTCCTCCTCAGTTTCAGCAAGCAGGGTTTTGTCATCTGCATAACGGAGATTGTTAATAGACCTTCCACCAATCCTGATGCCACAATTCTCCTCATAGAGCCCAGCCTCTCAGATA